GACCCCAAAGCACTATAGTCCTTATTCTGGGGGCCACCAAAAAAGTTCTCTGATTTTGGGAAACCCCCATGTACTGACTCCCTGGCACTTCTCAGATGTGGGGACAACAGAGACTGCCATGGACAAGTGTTGTGACAAAGCGCATGGGCATTGCAGAGACGAGCGTGGGGATGTGTAGCAGTCACATCCCAACATCCCTACCACAGCCCCAGCCAAAGTCCTACAAACACCCCTAAACCCTAAACCCCTGAATCCAAAACCCAAAATCCTAAATCCTGACCTCCCTCTACCTCAACAATTTCCAACGCTAAAACGAACGTGGAAGTGTCCATAAGAAGTGGACCTCGGTCTGGACCCCAATATCCGATGATCAACAAACAGAGGTACCCTAATCTGGGGAGGTCCCCATATGAGCCACTGTCTAAACTCCTAGTATCCCCTAAATAACCCCTATAGTAGTCCCCTACATAACCCCCATATAACCCCCTTTAAGGAGTTTAGACTATAGCTCATATCACAGGCTCAGAAGTCCAAGCACCTCATCGGGCATCGGCTCGCGGCAGACATTGCACAACCAGCCACTTAAAACTGCTCCGCCGACGCCAGAGAAGTTAGCCTGACACCTGCTACTGCGTTGCTGTTAAGGAACTTAATTCAAGTTAATATACTGGGGAAACCATATTCATCACTATATGTACCCATTATGGTAACTTAGCTTAAGTTCCTTAACAGCAACCCGGCAAGCGGGAAGCTGCGCGGCGCCGGTTTTTTACACCGAAGGCATTTACACAGAATAACCGGGTCTTTCACACTACCGCCGCTCAAGCTTTCAAACATCTAGAAGAAGTGCGTTCAAGTCATGTAGGTTTTGTAGTGACAACAGCAGGAATTGACATCTAGATTGGAAATCGGTCGTGTATACTACCTCGGTCAGCGAATCGCCCTCCACGCGTGTCTAAACAGTTGGCAGACTTTTGCAAGATCTTCCACACGTGTATGAAGCTTCACATACCATATGAGCTATAGTCTAAACTCCTAGTATCCCCCTTAATAACCCCTATAGTAGTCCCCTATCTAATCCCCTATATAAACCCCTTNNGTTTAGACTATAGTACATATTGGGGCTTTGAAGCATTTCTAGGCTCTGTGGGTGGGAGCATCTAGGTCTCAGGGTGTTTAAGCCATTTGTTCTGCGCAGACCGAAATGCCAGAAAGAACGATTCCTAGCTGAAGGTTAAAGCCTGTGAAGTCATAAGGGAAAACTGTACAAAAGATCTATTGAGAATCCTACCCAAAGCCTAAATGCTAAACCCTAGATCTACTGAGAAATCTTCATGAGCTGTACAGGGATACACTGGGTTGCTGTTAAGGAACTTAAATTAAATTACCATAATGGGTATATATAGTAAATAATAGGGTTTCCCCAATATAGTAACTTAATTTAAGTTCCTTAACAGCAACCCAGTATAGTGGGCAGAA